TGAAATTAGAATTTGCAGTTCCAAAGAACTACATGATTTGTAGAGCCTTGTTTCTGTAAACAGGTGAATGAGGGAAGTGGGGAATAAATAGCAATATGTGTCTGCTCTGGATCGAAAATAGTTAAGATGTGTTGTAATGTGTGATAGGACAATGGTGGCAGAACCCCAGACACAACAAAACCCCAGTGACTTGGCACAGTAAAACAGCTTCTTAATGGTTTCTTTGGTGATAAAACTGTTGCTGCCCTTCAAACTAGACCAGGATTAGAAATGGGGGAGTGAGGGGAGGAGGGAACCAGAGACATGCAGATAGTTTGAGTTTTCTGCAGGTTGGATAATTGGCTGTGCGTCTATAGTTGGAAACCTTGTTGTAATAAACAGGGATGCTGTTGGTGACATACTGTGCTTGGAGTCAATAGTTTTAGAACCAAATGAGACCAGAGGGAGAAACTGGAAGGAATGTTAACATTAACACAAGGAGGGCAGCAAGCAGTCCGTGAATGAGAGATATGCTTGAACTAGATGCAGTTCTAATAATAGACCAATTAATCTCTGCAGAGTATCCCATGGGAAAGGAATTTACAGCCAGACAAGCAGGGAAGGAGGGAATGGACCAGAGTAGGGTTTGCGCTATTGCTTTCATCTGACAAGGGATGAACCAGAGTCCGAAGGATGTTGCACCCTAGAACTGCGTAGAATTGACCAAATGAGAAATGGATATAGCTACTTCCCTTGATACATAAGTCTTAGAATCCTTAGAATGTAATTAGTGACATGACATGAGCCTCTTGGAGGAATAGTCGAAGCCGATTTTCAGCACCTGATAGCCCAGACACACTCAGGGGAAGGAACTTCTGATTGCCCTTCTAGGTGCAAGGGAGGATTGGACCTCACTTCAACATGAAGGACAAAACTCTGCTGAGCCCCTGAAACTGCAGATTCTTGAAGATGTTTCAGTAGATAGCTGGCCCTTGAAGAAGTGCTAGGTTGCAAGGAGGACTTCAGGAGTGACTGGTCTCAAGTGGACAGCCTTGCTTGTAAGTGGTTCTCTGAATAGATAACTGCCAAAAGTTAATAACTTCATATGAATGGGCTCTACAGCTTGAAAATGAATGAATGAATGAATGACTCCAATTCAGGGCAGTCCAAGCTGGAATAATGTCAGAGACTAGATGTGTTCCTGCTTGATTTTTTAAAAAAATTATTATTATTTTAGTATTGCATTTTAGAACCCTGATCCCTGATTATCAGACTACTCATGGACTCAAACTTGGCCTTTGGATGCCTGATCCTTGAACTATCCAATGACCTTGTAATACTGGACTAAGCTTCTATGTTACCCTTAAAACAGGATATTGTGCTGAATATCCTTCTGTTTTTTTCAAACCTCCATGATACATTTTGTAAGTAAATTTGTTATGATGTATTTGCTTAAAATATAAACTTGGAATGGAATTATGGTTTTATGTGTTACACTGCAGTTTATATCAGTGGATTAATGTTCTATATAGAATTTGTGAATGAACACGCTGAACAGAATTTCAGAAATAGAAGCTTTGGATACAGCTGATTCAGAGAATGGAATTGTATTGCCAGGAGTTCATTAAAAAGCCTGATTGATTGATTGATTGATTGATTGATATGTCACATTTATATAGCCACCCATCTCACACAAAGCAACTCTGGGCAGGGTACAACAAATAAAATAGCAAATGGATAAAAACAATCATTATAAAAAGATAAAAAGTGGTTAGTAAAATGAAAATATTATCAATTTTTTTGAAAATTTTAGATTTTAAAATATGTAAACCCCATGGAGTTCCCAAAGACCCCTAGGCCTGATGACATAACCAGATTTTGAGGGACTTCCTAAACAATGGTATGGAAGGGGTGATCCTCACTTCAGGGGGGAGAATGTTCCACAAAGAGGGAGCCACGGCAGAGAAGGCCCGCCTCCTGGGACCCACCAAATGCAAGTCTCTGGCCATTGGAATGCGTAGCATATCTTCCCTGCCAGATCTAATGGGATAGGCAGATGTGATCGGGAAGAGGTGGTCCCTCAGATAACCTGGTCCTGTGCCATGAAGGGCTTTAAGTCAAAACCAGCACCTTGAATTGGACCTGGAAGCAAACTGGTAGCCAATGCAACTCGTGCAGCAGAGGTGTAATATGTGCTCTTCTAGGAGCACACATAACTGCCCATGCTACCACATTCTACATCAGCTGAAGCTTCCAGATACTCTTCAAGGCTATTATAATTATATAATAATTAATAATTATAATATTATAATTATTGTATAATACATATAATTATATAATAATTATTATAGTTTCAGGACAATTTAATAATATCAATTATCAAATATAATAAGCAAATATCATGCCTTTATTTCCCACTGGCAGCATGAGCTGAACCTAGGAAACTAGAATGGGTTACAATGTTTTTACTGTTCCGAAGCAGGGTGATAAACCATGTGTCATGGCACCATAATGATGAGCCAGGGATTCATGGTGTGGATTTGTCCAACTTCCAAGATACTTGCAAAGGACACCACTTTAGGGAAGCATTTTTTGTGGGTTTTTTTATGGTTTTTGGAGAAAGCAACAAAAGACTAACACTTTGACTAAACTCTTACTAAAGTATCTTTCAGGGCAGAAGGGTGGGCCATAAGCTGACATACAATGTCATGGAATGTGGGTTATCAGGAAATGGGGCTTGTTTTATAAGTTGCTATTAATGTACGCTAAATATTTTTTTAGTTGGGAACCCTGAGGCCAGGAAAACTGGATAGGAAGTTATCCTCCAGTTGGTACAAGTTCTAGCACCCATCAATGTGGACCAAGCTAGATATGCTACTGGGAGCTGTGGTTGACTAATTGGAGGGACACAGGTTTCCTATGACTGTGCTTGGGGCTATCGTGTGCGGCTCACTTGGAAACATACAGTTTTTAAAAATGGAGTTTCAGAGTATGATGGACATTCCTCAGTACTGAATGACATGCTATCCAGACAATATATCTGGCACAGGGTTGAACTGTTGAGTTCTTGGTGCTCTCTGAGCTTCGCTAATTTTTTCAGAGATGTTTCATTGCCAGGCTAGGTAACATCATCAATGTGAGGGAAAGTGGGATTTGCTGGCTGTTTATATATAGTAGCTTATTCTTAGTGGGGAAAATATCAGACACACTTTGCATCTTTCCTCATTTCACTCATTTCAAGCTAGGTAAATTTATTTACCATGGTATTTCCATCTTTTCTCACCTAATCTCGCAACACACGGATAGACTCAACCACAGTTTCAATTTGGAAACTGTTAACATTTTAGATCAAGCCAGATCCAAAATGCTAGAGAATTCCTTGAAGCTTGGTATTCAGACAAATCAGCCATCAATAAACACACAGAGTCAACATATAGCATTTAAGATATACAATCAAAAGCCTAGGAAGGAAATAAACAGCCTAGAACACATTCCCTCCAGCAGCCAACGACCAGATACACAGGAAACAGCACCAGATGAAGAAACAGGGAAGAAACAATACCCTAATCAAGGAACCATCAAGGAGGAAGCCACACCCCCATCAAGACTGGCAGAGCAAGCTACTATATATAAACAGCCAGCAAATCACATCTGCCTCACACTGATGATGTTACTTAGCCTGGTAATGAAACATCTACAAGAAAACAACCAAGCTCAGAGAGCACCAAGAACGTGACCTGCTATCTTTCAGTTCAAGGCATTCCTAGAGCCTATTATGGCACATTTAGATTTGTTCAGGTTCTGCCAGAAATCAAATTTTAAGGTTACACTTAAAATATGTATTAGCTGTACTTTAATGTCCTTATTTAATGGTGGAAGGCAGGGAGGAAAGGTGGTCATTGTACTGATTATGTGGGTAATAAAGTTCTGGATATGTTTTGAAAATACATTTGTTTTACTTACATAATTTAGTGCCTTACATATACAGAGGGTAGGATAAAACCTCTCTTATGATCAAATCTTTGCAGCAAATGTAGTGAGCTATAGAATTGTAGCTGCTTTTTGAAAATCTGACTCATTCTCAAGATAGAGCTTCCTGTGAGCGCTTCCAAAGAGCCCAGGGTTTCCTGGCTGGTGTCCTTTAAATGTATTGGATTACAATTCTTGTCACTAGGGATACTATACGTGAGCTGCAAAAATATGGGTGACCGCTAGATAAAAATTAAAAAATACAGAAATCTCCAACCATTCACTGCCATCTAGTGATCAACTGGATTCTTTTCAGTCAGTGTATAATAGCCTACCTATCATTCCTAGTTTGCTTGGCACCAGGTTGTGGAAGGCTGTTCTGTTGAGTCCATTGTATGTGTACAACTGAAACATACTGTTATTTATGTGCAGATCAAGGATTAGTTCAACCTCAATCTAGTTTTCCAAATCTGAGGCTTTATGAAGAGCTACTAAATGTATATCTCTGCAATTCTTCATCTTAGTCTACAATTCGTCTAATTCCAGTTGAGCTCTGTGTTTTAAAATTTCTAGTTTCAAGTATATATGCAAGGGCAAGAATGATGCAAATATTTCAATATCTTATTTAACTGAATTCACTACATTTAAATGGATTTGTATAAAATCAAAATCAAGTTGACTTGATTGATACAAGCATTTTCTTTCAGGAAGAAAGAACTAGGTCACTGTGTATTTGAGTGTTCATAATTTGGGAGCTTGAACAGTGTCTTAATTGACATACATCAAGAGAACTCCCTCTTCCAAGTCTGTTTCTACTACTTGCTTAGTTATCTGTCAGCTGCTTCTGGCAAACTTATTTTTTCTTCCATAACTTGTTGCTTTCTGCAATTTTACTCTGCAATGATGTTTGGGTTCAAGGCATACCTTGCGCCTATTTTCATATATACATGTTTGCTGATAATATACTTAGATCATGTATCATTTCATACCAAACCTGTCAATAACTGAGAGCCACCAATCACTACACTTCTGTTTTTCCTCCTTCTTTCCAGCTTGTAACTGCAACCTGCATGCCAGAAGGTGTCGTTTTAACATGGAACTCTACAAATTATCTGGTCGCAAGAGTGGAGGTGTCTGCCTTAATTGCCGACACAACACAGCTGGTCGTCACTGCCACTATTGTAAAGAAGGCTACTATCGCGACATGACCAAACCCATCACTCACAGGAAAGCATGCAAAGGTATGTGTGTAATATGACCAATGTCCAACAGAAAGAAACTACAGGGTTACTTCTACCTTTTGTCCTCTGTGATATCTACAAATGTTTTTCTTCTTGTAGCCACCTTTCAGTTCCTAATGGCTATCTGGGCATTAACGGCAACCTTCCCCTGCTTCTGTGTTTACAACAACATTCTCTTCCATTCTACCTGCCTTATCTTTATGCAACAACTGAATATTCACAAGAGATGGGGAAGAAATCATAAGACACTCCAGTTGGGAGAATGGAAGTGGAACAAAAGTTGCAACTTTGGTCTCCTCTCACTTACCCCAAGTCTTTTTCTTGGGGCAAGAAAGTTGTTTTCTGTTTCATTTCATTTATTGAGCTGTAGGACAAGTGGAAAGGCCAGGAGACTGGTTTTTCTCTTCCATGGGAAACATGTGAAGTACAAACTTGTGCAACCCTCTCTAGACCACCCCTTCAGTTTTCTTCTTTTCTCAATCTGTTTTTGGAAGATACAAAATTTAGCAACATGAGAGAACTAGCTGTGAAACTGCTGTTAGAAAAAGAGATATCTGGGCAGGATATTTTAATCCTGAAAGTGCCACTTGTCTGGACCATGACCTGTGTCCAAGAAACTGTAAAGCTTTCAGGGCTTTAAGAAAAAAAGATCAAAAGTCTGTTTTGTTCAACTTGTCCCAGCTTATCAGCCTTCTTTCCTCTTCTTCCCCCCTTCAAACACACAAGCACAGACACACATATATAAATGTTGAATGGCTTGGCACAGCTATTCAGAACATGTGTGACTTGTCAAGTAAAAACAAAGACATGGAAAAGGGACCTCAGACCTAAAAGAAGAAAGACAAAGGTGTGAATGGATTGTTGAGGTTATTCAGATCAGCAAATGGGCCTCTTACATCAAAAACAGAAGTTTGCCTTCCCTCCCCTTTCAACAGGTGTGCATACCAGCAAACAGTAGGCTCCATTCACTAGGCTTAGTAACTGAGAGGACAAAGGGTGTTTCTTCTGCAAATATACACAGAAATCTACACACACATAGAGAAATATTAAATCATTGATATAAAACTTTGTTCTCTAGACATAACAATAATTTAAACCATTCAGTATAGATTATGGGGGAAATCTTACCAAAAAAGCATTTAAAATCAGGGAGTAATTTGATGTAAGAATGTAATATGGCACAAACATGCCAGATTAAAAAATAAAATCAAAGAATTCAGAGGAAAGAAACTGGCCTAAAAGAGTGACTGCAATCAAGTGACAACTACACATCCTTAAGAATGGAGTATTCAAAAAAATGGTACTATGTATTTATGGGTTTTAATCCTGCTTTCCCTGTAAAAAAAGTCCACAGGAAACATACCGCATCATCATAACCCATGTAGCTTAAGCACCAATACAATAGTTTCTAAAACCACTCCAAAAAATGGCTGCAAACAAAAACACAAGGTAAAATATGAGGAAGATCAGACCTAGCAAAATATTACATGTTTAAGTCACAGAACCATAGAACATAAGGGTTGGAAGGTATCTTGAAGAACATCTGTGTGGTGCAGGAATTCACTACTACAGATTCATTTCATATCGGGTGAAAGGGAAATAGATTTTCAAAATTATTGCATCCATACCAAAAAAAACTTGTATTTCACTGTCCATTCACCAAATGTCTTATTGTCATCATGCCTAATAACCAGATATGTATTCTTAGGATGAACATCTAATATGAGAGTCTTAGAAGAATAGATTGTCAGAAGTGGCATGTGTTATAGGTAAGAAAATGACCACTCTAAGTGGATATGAGTGTATTTCACTGCAGTCATAAAAACTACACCATCACCAAAGAATAAGGGTGTTAATTGATGTTATGTCAGATAATGAATACCTGCCTATGCCTGAACTGGCTTTAAATCCTGCGCTGGGCAGAAAGTTGGACTAGATCAGGGGTTCCTAAACTTTTTGCCATCACCCCTCCCTTTAGTGTGATCTTAATGTACACGCCTCCCCTAAAAATCCAAACACCAAAATGAACACAAATGAACAATGAAAACAATACAATGGAACTTTGGGAAAGTTGGATTTATTGTAACAACGTTCAACTAAAAGGTTCTTCACACCTCTGGACCCAAGGGAGGTGCACCTCACAGTTTGGGAAACCCTGGACTACATGGTCTGGGAGGTCCCTCCAAACCTTAAAACCTACAGTTCTATGAATTCAGAAATCCTGTCAGTCAGGGTGTCAAACCGGCAAACTTTGCACAGCCTTATTTTCCATTTGTATATCTGCTGTCCTTGGCTCTCCATTGTGCTCTGTCTTGGGGAAAACTTTTCAAGCCTGAACACATTGCTACCTCTGCTTAAAAGCATATTGTTTTCTATGCTAACTGCACATTAAAACAATGGTGAAGGGGGAGAAGGAGTAGAGTCCTGGCAGAAAGGGGGGCAGGTGAGGTAAAGTGACTTGCAAGCGGCCGCTGTGAACCAGGAAACAGCCAGTGCAGCACCCATTCAAACCTCTTTTGAGAACCTCTCTGCCTCCGAGGTTTTAGCAGATGCTGCCTTCCAACCTAAAATACGATTGTTGGAATTAGGAAGCCTAAACGTGAAGTTGAGCGTCGCAGGCCATAGAAGCTAAACCTGTGGCATAATCGCAGCCTTGTATTGTGATCCTATTTATGCTGCCCAGGTTCGTACTGTTTGGGCAGGGTCTTGCATTTCAGCGTAGAGTGTGTCCGTGGGAGGCAGATGTACTGTGAGCCCCTTTCATTCATCTGGTAGAAAGGAAACATGCCCAGCGAATGTGGGCCACTCAGAACTGCCTGAACCTTTTGAATCGACTGGGATTTTCAGCTGCACAGGGCTGGGGGTGGGGAGAGCAGAGCAGAGCAGAGCAGCCACACGGCTGAATGTGGGCACGGAGGGGGGAAGGGGAAGAAAAGGGCGCTTGACATCACGGCTTGGCAGCTTTGGAATCCACAAGAGCAGGCGGTTCAGAGAGACCAAAGGAATTCAAGCTTGCGGATGGAGCGAAACCACTTTGACACAACAGGCTTGATATTTTTCATGCTGCTCAGTCTTCCTGAGGGGAATAAAATGCTCCTTGGTAAACTGTTGGCAGAGCATGGAAGCACTGAGCAGATATGTTGGGTAATAAGGCTGACAATTTAAGGCTGAGTCCCAGACCAAGTAACAAAGGTTGCCGCCAACAAAAGAAAGCCGGTTGCTTTCCTAATAAAAATGAGGGAGCAAGAAAGATGCAAAAAGAGAGAGAGAGGAGGTAAGGTTTTTTGTGTTCTGTTTTTTTAATGCAACGATCTGTGAGAATCTCTCCTCCCCCCACCTTAGATAATGTGGCCTCGCCAAGTTGAAAATGTAGAGTTCATTGTACAGTAGAGTGTCAGCAATGAATAAGCAAATAACTTGATATTCTAAGAGAATCCTTCTGTACACCTGCCATAAGCAACTACAAAGCTTAACAGTTATCTGAATGTGGTTCTGCAGTCTTCCCATTTTGCAGGGGCTTATCGATATTATTGCAGTTACATTTGAATATTTTTTTTTCCAGCTAGAGAGTGTAGCTTAGATTTGGCTTGTATTTATTAAACTGGAAATCAACTTGGGTTCAAAAAGCCCTTTCTGCTCCAAAGAGCCTGAATAGTGATGTGTTCATTGTTGGCCAGTGGGTCATGTTGATCAGCTAGCTGCAAAGGAAAGTGGGTAGCTCCACAAGTCAATTTTTTGTGTGTAAGGGCCATACTCCCACTGTCCTAATATAGGATATGGCAATACTACTTTTCAGCAAGCCAAGACTTCTTGGATTTAATATTCCACTCTTTGAGCTACCCAAGAGGGGAAATAAATTTTCAGTTGACAAGAAATCAGCAAATAAGGAAGGAAACCAGCAGTTCAGTTCCTTATTTTCCTAAACCAGTGGATTGGAGTTCTATAAAGCTGTGATATATGAATATTCCACTTACAGTGGTGCTGAAAAGTTTGTGTACCCTTTCGAATTTTCACAATTTCTGCATAAATATGACTTAAAGCTATACAGCTTTGGATCATTTTCCTCAATAAATAAATGAACAAGTATAATGTTTTTGACTCATTTGTTTAATTGGGTTCTCTTTATCTAGTTTTAGGACTTGTGTGGGGATCATGTTTTAGGTAATATTTAGGCAGAAATACTGAGAATTCATAAGGATTCACAAACTTTTCAGCACTGTTCTATAGAATGAATCTATGATCTGATGTGGAAGTAAGTATTCTGAGAACATCACCATTCTTTTAATGTGAGGAAAGGCTTGAAAATATGGCAATGAAGCTTCAATGCTTTTGTTTCTCAGAACTGAACATTATTTGCTTCTTTGCTTCTGCACTCCAGAAACATCTAGTTTCCGTACTTTCTATTTTTTATATTCTCACTAAAAGTTTTAGATCATATAGATGAAAAAAAAATAGTGTAGAACCATTTTAGCACACTTTACACTGAAGCTCACAAAGCAGAGAGGCTGATTCACACAGAACAATAAACTACAATATGTTTTGCTCTTTTCTGGCAAAGTGTGATGTGCAAACCCACCCATTATGGTTTGGCATGCTGTGTAAACCAAGCCACAGCATTTGTTCAACAATTCTGGTTAAAAATCCTGGTTTGTCTGAATGCAGCCTTCTCGTATCCACAACATATTTGAGATCAGAGTGTTTGGCTTCTAGAAAGTTTTATAACCCGCCACAGCTAAAAAATTAAATGTTCTTAGTCATAGCCCTCCCTTACTATTTGCTATGCTACTTTCTGCTCTGTTGTCTTTCTCTTTGTGTTGGGGCCTTGTTATAAAACGATATAAATGATTTTTTTTTAATGATCTTCACATAAATGGATGAAATATTCCCTACACAATATATTTACTGAAAACTTAACTGCCTTGATATTTTAGTTTTCCATATGCAGAAACTGATTCTTTGGTATCATGGAAGCATTTAACCATGTTACCCCCCACCCTCAA